CCCCAAAACCCCAAAACCCCAAAACCCCACTGTCTTAAATATCAATTTGACGTAATAATTTGATAATATTTAATAATATACAATGTCACTTTCTCTTACCTAAAATGAACGCTACTTTTTCGTACATAACTTATAATACTAATTTACTCTAGATTAAAAGTCAAAATTTCATTGATTCTGGTGATCGCACTTTAGTGATAGAGAGATCCAAACTGAGAATATTTGAAGATCCAGATATCAACTTGCTGCCAAATGAGAGCACAAAAATTAGCGAAGGACCAATTTTTGGGATTGTAGGAATTATGAACATAATTGGATAAAATTATCTATGTGTCATCAAAGAAGCAGAAGTATTAGGAAAAATATATGGAGCTCATGTTTATAAAATCAATGAAGTCAAGCTTTATCCATTATAGGTAATATAAATAAAAAATTTAAATCTGAATAGATGAATATCATTCATTAAGTTGCTCAATATATGGATGAGTTAAAGAAATATTTAAGCGAGGGATTTTATTTTTCCTACGGCTATGATTTGACAACAAGTAGGCAAAGAAGAATAAAGTTTCTACAATCTAAATCAAAAGATCCACTTAAAATTATTGCATCAGATCATAGTTATTTCTGGAACATTAATCTTTACAAGGACTTTTAGGATCAAAATATTGACATCAGATGGTTTACTCCTTTAATTTAAGGCTATATTGGCATGCATACAGGGCAAATAGTTGGTAGAGAAATTTAATTGGCATTGATTTCGAGAAGATCTCATTTAAGGAGTGGTACAAGATATAATGCTAGAGGGATTGACGATACTGGAAATGTGGGGAACTTTGTTGAAACTGAATAAATTGTTTAGCTTGAAAATATTGTTTTTAGTTATGTGATGATTAGAGGATCAGTCCCAATATTTTGGGAATAAAAAGGTATGATAGAGGGAGTTACAATTTCGAGAGGTCCTGAAATGACAAAAATGGCTTTTCATAAGCATTTTGATGAATTATTCAACTTATATAATCAAATTTTTGTTGTTGACCTGCTTTCAGACACGAAATAAAGAGAGATAATTTTGACTAAAGAATATGTCAGATAAATATATGAATCATAATTCAAAGAGAAGATAAAATTCATGCATTTTGATTTTCATCATTATTGTAGCGGAGACAGATATCAATCATTAAAAGTGCTAATAGGTAAAGTAGGCTAAGGAATTCAAGATTTTGGATTCTTTGTTGAAGATATTTAAGCTAGAAAAATTTAGAGATTACAATAAGGTGTTTTTAGGGTTAATTGTCTTGATTCATTGGATAGAACAAATGTAGCTTAATCTAAGATAGGAATAATGATTTTATAAAGATAGCTTTAAAAACTAGGCTTTATTATAGAGGATACTTTTGGAAAAGAAGTTGCAAAAGAAGGTCTGGCATTTGCTGATGTCTAAAATTAGTGCATAAAATAGATAAAGCATTTTTGGGCAGAATAAGGTGATTACTTAAGCAAGTAGTATGCTGGGACCAATTCTACAATTTCTAAAGTTTCAAGAGATGGAAAAGAAGGATTTATGGGCAAAATTTAGCATAAAATGAAAAATGTCCAACGATATTTAATTAATACCTTGAACGAAAACTTTCAATAAAATTCAATTGATATTATCCTTGGTAAGCATGCTTAATCAGTCATTTCTAGCGATCTTAGGAATTACTTAATAACTGAAATGAGAAAGAGAGAGGATTTATTTACTGAAATTAAGAATATTAAGCTATATGTAGGCACATGGAATTTAGGAGGAACTAAACCTTATGATACGGTGGATCTTTCATCATGGCTCCTAGCATTTAAAGATAATTTTATACCTGATATAGTTATTGTTGGATTTCAAGAAATTGTTAATTTAAATGCCTCTTCAATATTAATGGGTGGATCATAGGGTAACTATAAAATATGGAATGACCTTGTTTTAAATAACTTAATTGATCACACAAAAGAAGATTATGTATATGTAACAAGTGAAAACTTAGTTGGTATACATATCGCTCTATTTACTAAGAAAGGGCTTAACTAAAAACTAACTGATATTGCCACTTCAAAAGTTAAACTTGGTTTTTCAGGTAAAGTTGGCAACAAAGGAGCAGCTTTAATCAGATTTTTGTATGAAGACACTTCTTTTTGTTTCATAAATTGCCATCTTGATAGCGGACTCGGTTATCAAGAGTAGAAAAAGAGAGTACAACAAATATAAGAAATCTACTAGAATGCATTCATTAAGGAAAGAGGAACCAGTCAAATTAATTACAGTGTATCAAATCATTAAATCAAAGTTATTTTTGGGGATTTAAATTACAGATTAATCAATCCTGAACTGTTTAGGAAAGATTTGGATCCATATAGAAGAGAAAAAGCAAAAGATGAACTTTTTAAATCTCTACACATATAGGACTACGAAGAACTCATAAAATATGATGAGTTTAAATTAGCACAAAAAGATTCAGAAATACTAAGAGAATTTAAAGAAGGTTAATTGATTTTCGATCCCACATATTAGTACAACTAAAATTCTAATGCCTATGACACATCCTCTAAGTAAAGAATTCCTGCTTGGTGCGATAGAATTCTATATGAAGCAAATAGTAATCTTAGTTAAGTATTTTATGGCAGATCTGAGCTGAAATTATCAGATCATCGACCAGTATTAAGTTTGTTTGAGGCTAAAATAAGGAAAGTAAACGAATTGGCTAAGTAAGAAGTTGAAGACAAGCTTGTTCAAAAATTTAAATCAATAAATCATTAGCATAATCCTCCTATCTCTCCATTAAAAAAGCCAGAACCTAATAAGCATCTATCTTCTATGGTTGTTATTCCTAAAAAGAATGATAGTCAACTAACTTTATCTGAGTAAAAAAAGAGAAGACTATCATTTTCTGGTAGCGTAATTGAACCAAGTATAGGTGACTTTGGCTTGATTGATACTTAAGATAGTTTTCATTCTCCTAGATTAATTACATAATCCCTTATCATAAAAGATCCTAAAGAACTTGAAGATTTAGTAAAAGAAAAATCTGTATTATTCAATGACGAATAAGTTAAGAAAGCAACTAATGAAGAGTATCCATTTATACTTAACAGGCAATAGACTGAGTTATTTTAAACTGAAGGATTCTCACCAATAAAGCTAGATTAGTTAGAGAGAGAAGAATCAGTAGCCTAACTTTTTATTTAAGACAAATTGAAGAGAGACCTAAAGGGCTAATAAGCTGTAAACATGATTAAAAAAGTAGGGTTGTTTAACAATGACTCAGATGAGGAGGAGAAAGAAGAAAAACTTGAGAAAGAAGCAGGATCATTGATGAAATCAGATGATAAGCATAATAATCCATTTTCTGGTCCTTCTCCCAAAAAGATAACTACTCATGCGGCTAAAGGCAAACCACTCTTTTCTGATTCTGATGATGAAGATGTTGAAGTTAAAGATTCAGAATAAGAACCTGATAATATTTAGAGAGCATCTTAGTTAAATAAAATCTGAACAATATATTAATTTGGAATTAGTTAAAATTAAATTCTTAAATAAGTGTTAATAAGATTTATTATGAAATTAAGTAAGATTATTGTTAATCATCAATTTATTAAGTTTTGTCTCATTGTGAAAGATTAGTATTCATTCATCTATTTGTGTTCGAATTTGCAACAAGAGTCTGCATATTATTTATGATATTTATATTTGTCATATTTAGCTGATCATCAATACTTTCGATAGTCCTTAGTTAAATGTCATCTATAGCATCTCCTCTAGGCATTTGTAATTCCTCATCATAATATCTTTGTTGCATTTCAAATGAATTAGATCTGTTTAAAAGATTCCTTACTAATACACCTTTAAGTATAAATCTAAAAATGCTTACCCTAAGTGTTCTCAAACGCATTGCTTAGGTCTAATGATTAAAACTAATGGATATGTATTCTGCTATCATCTGAGAGTATTTCATCATTGATAGTAAATTGAACACTCTCTAGATCAATGACTGGTTTTTTATTGTCTTTTCTTTTAATCTGTTTTATTTCTGGCAAATTCCCACGAAGATCTAAGTAGTATAGAATTGGTACAAATTGTCCACTGATTCGATTTAGATCTATTTTGAGAATAAGCTTAATTTTCTAGAAATTACACATATTAAAAGGATTAACTAATCTTACTTTTCTGCATAAATGGCATCTCTATTCTTGTTTACTCATTGTAAGTTTCTAGCCACAATCAAAGCACAACCCACCATGTCCACAATTCATTATCACTGCATCAGCTACTCCGCTTAAGCATATCACACATTCTTTCTTTAATTCTTCTTATTTATCGCAAACACCTGATTGTGTGTTTTTACCATCTTTGGTTGCTGAATTCTAACCCTATAATTTTTTCCTGAGCTCTTATTTAGCCTTAATCATTTATTCTTTTATATTAGGAGGATGGTGTGTAAATTCAGTTGCAGACAATCTTCTTTTAAAAACAGACTTAAAAGCATCAGGATCATCTTTGAATTTTTTATATGTATCAATGTAAATAGACTTTTTATCCATAACCAGGTACTACTTCTAGGCACCAAGTGTGTTAAAGAGATCCTATCTTGAGTTTAAATTGTTTTTATTAATATTTTTGAATTATTGTTTATAGTCTATGGTTTATTTGATAGTATCAAGAAGCTAATGCTTATCTAAAGTTGTAACAAGAGTTTAATCTCGAGTGTCAAAGCTAACCTAGTTTAATATTCTTTCATCATTTAAGTAAGGTCTTGCTCTTTACTATCTTTATTATTGAATCAGTCTATTTTGTTACATTTCATCTATCTCACTAAAGCAAACATTATCATCTAAAAAGATATCTTTGGTTGATCTTAATCTTTCAGTTTTAGTTTTATTTTTATTTATTTTTTTCTTATCTAGCTTCATCTTAGTTTGCTTGATTGACATAATTTTTACTTAGTTAGAAATCCCAAATTTTTCAAAGATAGTTGTTTGCTTTTATTTTTTCTTTGGATCAAGGCTTTTTTATTACAAATTTGGAGATTCAGGTTGAACTTGAATCGTTTTACTCCCTTTATTCGTTATTTTTTTGATTTATCTATACATGTCTATTGAATACTATTTCAAAGTTTTGAAATAAGAACCAGAAATTAACATCAAATATCTTGGTGTTTCCTAGATCTGCTCCTCAATTTCATTCTTATTTAAAAAATTATTTCTATTCTCTATAGAATTATCCTCATTATGCAATTGCTGAGGTAATCTCTACAATTATTGCCTTCTCTCATCAAGTATTCTGCTACTGATCATGTACCTTTCATGTAAGTAATTAATTCTATCTTGTTACCTAGACTAGCTTACCCTAATTCTATTATTAGGATCTCTGATTTATTAACTTAATAGAGACTTTTACTTGAATACATTATCAATAAGCCATTGCTATAAATAACCAAAATTCAGGATGGTCAAGATAATCAATCCAAATAAGTAGGCACTGGGAAACAATCCTAGTTAATATTTCATAGGTTCATTTTCCCCTTCTTTAACATTGAGAATTTTGATAAATTTAATGATTGATAATACTGAAGCCACTGTAAATCCATTAATTGTATAGAATGTATATACTCCTAGACAATCTAAATTAGAATTAATTAAAATAACTTTTTACATTTAGTTGTGTTTATTTTTTGAAAAAATGTCTAACTAGACGACTTTATGATTAAGTTACAGATTGACCCAGCACAAATTAAAGCAGAACTTACTGAGAATATCAAAGACAAGGAGCAAATGATGTAAAGTGGCCAAAAAATAGCCTCCCACTTCCAGTCTATCTTTTCATCAAATCTCAAAAAGAAGTTGAATATTGCCATATTAATCAAAGCCTTCAAAATTAAAATGCACTATTTAAACATAATTTGCATAAAAATCACTTACTATCTTATAGTAATTGTCGTATTCTGATTTGAGGTATTTAAGCCATAAAAATCTTTGAACAAAGGAGAATACCCCTACGATACAACAAGGAGTCAAGTTTAAATCCTTTTCATAGCATAAAAATATCAAGATTAGAAAGGTCAAATAACCAATATTTTCTATGAATTCCTTTTTTTCTGTAATCATTCTTACATCAATATTTATTTGTCTATGCAATCTTTGTTATGGATCCTATCTGCTATATATAATCCAATAATTCTTACAATTGCTAGTTAGAATGCCTTCCTATGATTTCATCGAGGGCTGCTCTATTCTCTCTGCTTCTCGGATTATCAAGGATATTTCGCAGTTTTTTAATCTATGATGAATTTATGAAAAATGGCCTTACTTTTCTTATCTCAACATAGTTTATCATAATTTTTCTCATTTGGATAATTACTAAGGGGAATCCTGCAATTGACAGAGGAAACGAGGCATCTGAACTTATTTATATAATCAATAGAATAAATCCGAAGAACATAAGAGTTATCTTTTCAAGTATCCTATACAAAAATCTTTTAGCCTTATGCTTCAAATGAATAATTTAATCCATTTCATTTTCTAAGCCTCATATATTCACTTCCTATCCTTAACTCTAATCACTCTATTCCTCAGACTAGTTATTTATTTGCTACTGTAGCTGACTTGGTTCATAATAGCTGCTCGAACTTTCACTGCTGTCAAGAGAATCAAGGTTCTAGTTTATTCAAAGATTAACAACTCATCTATGTTCATTATAAGTCGGTAGTGATAGCACTGCTAGAGGTCTTTATTGTAAATTGGGCTAATTATTCATTTAAGGTTTTAAATATCATTTTTTCCAAATTTTTTAAATTCTTATAATCAGGGGTTTTGGGGTTTTGGGGTTTTGGGGTTTTGGGG